TTTTCCATATTGAACAAAAATAATTGCTTTCCAAAATTTACATAGGAAAACATTTAAATTACATAGATAAACAGAGCTATCATTCCAGCACTTATTTTCTTAATTGGATAATTATATATAAACGATTTGATTACTTGTAAAAATAAATCTCATTAAGAAATGAATCAATTAAGTATTTTTGAGAAATTTATTAAATACAGAATAAATTATTTTTGAATACTGACATGATAAAATTTTCAGAATTTGGTCTATTATATACAAATAGTCTTCTATAGTTTTGTCTACAAGCATATTACTAGGTAAATTCTAGAATGTATTAATAGATTCAGTTATTTTATTATTAACAGGTACCATATAATTTAAATACCTATTTAATAAATTACTGAAAATATGTTTACAAAATATATAGTCAAAAAATATTATATTGATGAAACTTATAGTGGAAATTGTGGCGTGAATGTGCCCAAGCATTAAATAATTTGAATTGCATATGTGGCTTTAATGAGGATTTAGAAAACAACCATTCCCGAATGGAATAAATTACTATTGCAGTAAAGAACATATTTATGGTTTAAAAGAAACGCATAGAATTTTTAATGAGTAACCGGAATAGCTACAATAATATTTACACAGCTTCATATAAACTGAAAAGTAATAACTTCAGTTCAAAGCGTAGTAAAACTATAAGTATTTAATTAAACGTCAATCAACAATCTAATTATACGAAGAAAAATTAAACTACTCGACACATATCGAATGAAATATAATAAAACTTTATTATAGTGTTCAAAAAAATAGTGGTGCATGGCATCCTGCCTTAAGGCAAATTGCTGAAACTTTCAGTACCGAAAATTAAAAGATTCAAAAAACCTTTAAAATTGTTTGAAAACTGAAAAAATAGATCATTAAAATTTTTTTTGGAAAATTAGATTTTTTAAATCTTAAAATTTTTTGAAAATTTTTATCATTTTTTTTGAAAGAATTTGGCTTAAAAACATAGAGCGCCGCGTCGCAATTCATCGGATAAATATGGGTACGGAACCCATAAAAATATAAACACAATTTATACTCAATATTAAAATTACTATAAAATATCTGATAATTTGATGTGCTATGTCTAATGATCATTTTCGACCGCCAAATGGATTTTTTTTACTTTTTTTACTCGATCTCCTAAACCGTTATTCTGCCTTTCTCAAAAATCAATCATTTCTTTCCGCTCCGTTCTCTCAAAAACTAAATTAATTTTTGGCACCTTTTATCCCGTATCATAGAAACGGCTCGACCTGCCTTGTCCAAAAACTGATCAGCACTTCTCCTGTCAATAAGAATCGAATGTATTTTAAATCATTCAAATCGGGATCCGTATTCCCGAAATCGACGACGAAATTTTGTATCCGCACACAAACACGCGCGCGCACACACACACACACATACATCCATTTTTTTAAAGGTATGCCAAACTGTTCAGAAATCTTTAAAACGTAAAGATATATAAAATATGTACATTTTGGACAGACAACACTGTATATAACCTTGATCTATTGTTACGTCAGAAATATTCATCAGGAGAGCTGGACTAACTCTTTATTTAACTTATCTCTAGTAAAATTACTTTTTTAAAATATTGTTTACACTTTTGCCAGGGTTAAGACTCAGTTTCTCCTTTTTACCTTACTCACGTGTAAGCATTTATAGAGGTCATATAAAAAAACCGTTGAATCTAACATAAAATTAACAACACATCTTAATAAACAATTAATTAAAGTATACATAAGAATTATATTAAGGTCTCGCAAACTAAACAACAGTACTCACAACCAAAAAATCTAGCAATGAAAGAAAATACTATTTATTGAAAATTTCAAACATTTCCTTTTATCTCCTGATAGCAACGTTGTAAGAATCAAAGTGTTGACTAATTTATACATATTTTGCCCTCTACTTTCAAATATGGTTGTTAAAAAATTCTTAACTTCACTTGTTTCTGAGATATCGGTGGTAAATCTTGTACAACATTTGAAACTACCAAAAATAAAAGACCCTTAATGATCCAATCAGCAATAATCCATTAATTCCCATGAACACGTTAATTCCACAAAATGATAAAATAGTTTTATTCCCTCAGTTAACTATCAGCAGCAAATACAATACGAGTTGTTCCATGTTCCGCCAGTTCTATTATTGAGGTCACTCTATAGAAGTTGAACTAATTCTGAGGTCATGATGGGATTATCCTGGAATCGTCTAAGTTCACGGGAAATTCGATCCCCTTAGCACTAGACCACTAACAGTTTGAATTTTATGGTTAAATCATTGAGGTTTAATTAATTTCTCTATGTTCAGATCGTCGACAGATCTCATCAAAAGTTCAGGCGAAGTTGATACTGAAATAATCCACATATAATGGAAAGCATGGAATGTTAGTAATGCGATTAAAATGGGATCGGGATTAAAAATTATTTGAAAAAATTAATTAACTGGATAGTTGGATTTAGCTGATTTTTAGTTTTAAATGTTCACATTTCCGCTATTTTAAATTATTTAATTTATAGATTTATTTATTTGTATGTTCCTTATCATTATCAAAAGTTACATGAATTCATAAATATTAGAAAAATTACGCCAAACATAAAATATATTGTTTTGGATATTACTAACAATTTGTTAATATTTGGATAATAATTGCAGTACTGTAAGTCAATTTAACTGATTTTTAGTTTACTTCTAAAATTAGCTGGTTTACAAAATTTAAAATACATTTATTTACAAAAAAAGAGTGCGCGTAAGGTTCACACGCGATTGAAGTAAAACTCTTGGCATTTAAATTAAAAATAATTACATCATATAACAATTTTCGTTTTGTCTATAAAAATAGTTTCTAAAAATATAGCATAACAACGAACAATACAAATACTTCTATAAAGTTACGTTTCTTACGCGGCATAGATTTTTCATTTGTTTTATTATTTTCATACAATCAAAGCAATCATACACACGCGACACGACGACCAATCATAATCGACCCGTATAGAAATGATATCATCGAGAGCGAATGACGAATTATTGGCACTCGACTCGAGGGTAACGCTCCTCTGTTGCATTTTCACAGATTTACACCCCAGTCGCGCCTAAAGAAGATTTACTTCAAAAATTATAAATTAATTTTGAAACAATGTTTGAAAATGATATTATTTAAACAATTGAGCAAGTTTTAATTTCCTGTATATTTATTTTTTTTGTTTTTGTTATCGACCAATATTTAAGAAATTCAGTTTTACATATAATTAAGCGAATAGGGTAGGAAGGGGCACAAAGATCCAATTTAACTTTGAGCAATTACGTAGTGAAAACCAAAACAATTAAATTACAACAAACATATCAAACACACAACTATCTGACTATGTTCAGTAAAGCTTCCATCAAATTCGTCATTGCAGAAATGTGTTTTTTTATGCTGTTTTTTTTTCAAGCATTTGCAACCTGGTCTTTTTTACCCCATAGGCAATAACAAGAAATCACGAAGTATCATGTGGGGGAGGGGAGAGGTATAGTATAATATCACGTGTATTTATTTTTTACCTGATTTATTTATAAAATTCAGGTAAAAAGACTCAAAAAAAATTAAATATTTTACAAATTTTTCTCGTAACTAAAAATATACGTGAGGAAGAGGAGGGAAGTCCAAAAATTCTTAAAAAATCGATAATTAATTTTGATCTGGTGTTCTGTCAGAAATATTCATTAACAGAGTTGGAATAACTATTTATTTAATTTATCTCTAGTGAATTTGCTCACTTTAACTTAATTTACTATTTTTTTTGTTTACATCTTTGCCAGAAAAAAGGTTCAGTTAGTTCTTTTTACCTCAATCACGAGTAAGTTTTTATAAAGATTATATAAAAAAAACTGTTGAATCTAACTTAAAATTAACAATTCATCTTATAAAACAATTGAATAACGTATACTTAAAAATTATATTAAGGTATCGTAAACTAAACAATAGTGCTCACGACCACAAAAACTAACAACGAAAGAAAATACTTTTGTTATGGATTTTCAAACATTGCCGTTTATTTTCCGATAGCAACATTGTAAGAATCAAGGTAATGGCTGGTTAGGCATCTTTTTCCCTCTACTTTTAAATATTGTTGATAAAAAATTCTTGACTTTACTTGCGTTTGAGATATCAGTGGTGAACCTTTTTACCCGCGAACCTTTGAGCCCCGCTCTATCTTTTATATATATATAAACACATTTCAAAATGTAACATTAGACGTATTTTTATATATTTTTGATGGCATAGTTCGTCAGTATGAATATTTAGATCGGGTTATATACAAAGCACTTGGCTCGGTGCCAGAAAACGTCTTTAATATTGGAATCGCAAACGCTAATTTTGTCTAGAATTATCGTTGAGATAGGAAGAATATTGATCCTAGATAATGTATACCGTATTTAATTAATATTCGCCCTATATGCCTCATTTCAGGCGAATGGGTAACAAAACCACATCAGAATAGATTAGAACATATATAACACATAGTAAATGTTAAACGAGCAATAAAATTTGTTTAGTTTAGTACTACTTGGCATTTGCAAATTGCTCTTTCAGGTTTTGATTTTTTTAATCAAATTTTTATGAAACCCTAAATGTTTTTATAAGGGACAATTATTCTTTTTTAACTTCCCGTGGGGTAAGCTATAGTAATCTAAAAAATCGCCAATGAAAATTTCTTCATATGCTTACATTTTGAAGGTTTCTGAACATTTTGTCATACCTTAAAAAAATGGATGTATGTGTACGTGTGTATGTATGGATACAATTTTTCATCGGAGTTTCTAGAAACACCGAATAAATGGTTTGAATTGTTCAAAAAATATTAGACATTGAAGGGTCCTGATTAGTTTTTGGAAAAGGCAGGTCTAGCCAGCAAAAAGGCAAAACGTGAAAAAATAGGCCCACATATAATAGTGATTAATATGATTCTACTACTCACCATAAACAATCATTTTAGCAGAACTCTTAGCAGGGCCCTCAGTGAACGTGTCAACAACGCACTGATACGTCCCTGACATATTTCTGCTCGGTTTCAACAAATTCATTGCCCGGTATTGATAATGAGGATTTTCTGAAGCCTTGTAAGATAAATTTATTGAATCTGAAATAAACAATATAAATGGAAAAATAATTACATATCAAATTTTAATGGTAATAATCAACATGTACAAATAAAACAGTTGCTATTAAATCCTGAGAACACAATTAATACTGAACAATCCCCCTGCATGATAATTAATTACTATTTAAGATTTTCTATAAAATAATTAGAAAAATACGCATTCAGTAAACTTAATTATTTAAAAAATTTAATTTAAATTAAAATGTATGTTTGCGTAATTTAAATTGAAATACTGTTTACATAACTAGTTTTTAAATTAGAAATGAGAAGTTTGCAACGTGCATGCCTATTTATTCAAACAGAAACTTGAGTGTAATATTATATAAAATACATATTAAGTTTATCAAGAATGTAATCAATGCTTTTTCTCGACAGTAAAAATATTCTTGTAATCTTTTATACATAAATAATAAGGCTTGTAATTTATATTCATATCGATATACATTTTGATTATATGCGATAGTATATGATTTAGAAATTATTATGTAGAAGTTCTACCTCATTTAAGCAATAAAGTTAGTGATAAAAGCAAGAACAAATTTATTATTACATAGAGTTTAATTGTTTTTAGTAATATTAACCCTTCCCAATCGGATGCTGAAAAATACACATTACTTTCGGAATTCGCGAGTGGAAAGGGTTAACCTTCAGTATCTCCTATAGAATTAAAACTTTGACTTTTAACTTTTTAAACATCTATATTATACAAAAATAAACATAAATATATGAATCTATAAAAATACATACTTCTAAAGGCTCCAATAGCTTGGGGACCATCCTTCTCAGGTATCCATTGGTATATAAGTTTTGCTGAAGCTTTGCTACCTTCAGGTATAAAATACCATTTTAGAACTAATCCTTCGGAGTGTTTTAACGTATAATCACAATCTAAAACAACACTTTCCATATCTCCTTCTTGGATGACTCCAGGAACTCGTAGAGCTATAATTTCCAATTTATTTCCTTGGCAAATTCCTGCAATAGAAAGAATAACAATTAATTAATGATTTTATGCTGTTTGCGATACAGGTGTAAAAAAACATGAAATATTTCACAATGCGAGTTTGTTACCAATTAGAGTTATAAAAAAATGAAATATATTTACAGTACAATCACGTGATCGATTTTTTAGAGAACCCCCACCCACTTGGTAATACGTCATGACATTCAAAATCTATAATTTTTCGGATTTACAAAAAAGTCGTTTTTTTGAAAATGTAGGAAAGAAATAAATGCACGTGTTATTTTACTAGACCCCCCTCTCCCCACGTAATATTTCGTGACTTTTTGTCACCCCCCTTCCCCTAAAAGCCTCACGCGTTTAATGGACGCCGCCCAACAAAGGAATACAACACTAAAGTTTTAAATAAATTTAAATAAAAAAGTGTTAATTTTTTTCTTGGTATAACTAATTTCGCTCCAAACCAAAATTATTAAAATTTGTTATATCATAAACATTTTCTCTGCTACCTTAAATTTTATATTATCAATGGCAATTGACACAGGTAAATTTGTCGTATAAAGGAATTTTAAAAAATGGTTCGTCTGCATCGGAAACCTAATCTGGTGAAGTGTACGTACAAACATCGTTTGCACCGATTTTGTGTCACAAATGTAGTATGTAGAGGCTTCGTACACAGGAAAACTACTTCAGCCTTTCAGCCCTTCGTAGCCGTAGGTACTTCAATAGGTTTCGAGCGAATGGCGCGATGTTTTACGCGCTCCACTGCGATGCGTTTGTTTCGAGTGCGTATTGTGTTTTCCATTGCACACAAAACTGATTTAAAACCAGAGACTCTGAATTGAATAAATATACTTGCAGAGTTGATTAGAATAATACATTTTGGGCGAGAACTCAATATAACTTGATCTAAGCAATCCCAAAGATAGAAGAAAAATTTAGAAACGATTAAAAATACTTGACGTATCGTGCTAGGCAAATGAATAAAATCTTATATTTATATAGACAGGTTCGAAAGCTGATTTATTTTTAAAAGTTCCAATCAAGACTCTGGTTTGTATATGGTAACTTAAGAAATCAGAAGTACAAGATAAGGCTGCATTATAATCCAAATCTGCTTGCTCAACGCCTGCTTTCTTTATATATTTCCAGAAGAATCAAAAGAACAACCCTTCCGATTTTGCAAGTTCACATATAAGCCAGATATATTAATCTCTCTGTATCTTCATCTTATTAGTTCACCGCTAATTAGCTTTTTAATATCTTGTCTCTGCACATTAGTGCAGTGCCAAAATTGCTGAATGCCTGTCCATGCAGAATGTAATTAATTGTAAAAAAACAAAGTTTGAGAGTTTTTTCTTCGCCTCTATATCGTACAATACTCAAATTAGTTGGAATTGGAAATACATTATTGATTTAGATTGATATCAGTCTATCCAAGACAAGACTGAAAATTTCCAAATCTACGGCTTTCCACAAACATCTCCAAAAGACTTAAACTAACAAACCCTATAGATTTAGCAAGGTAATATCTAGGTTTATAATTCTTTCTGTGTCTTCATCTTAATAGTTATCAAACTTAAAATGACTACCACTGGATTTCATTTTAATTATCTTATCTTATCATTACACATTAGTCACCAAAATTGCTGAATTGCAAAATTGCTGATTGTAATTACAAGGTAATGAAAAATATTATTAATTTAAATGTCAAGTCAAAATAGAATGAATTCTGCTTAATATCAGTCTATCCAGGACCAGATAGAAAAATCATCCAAATCTACTTGCTAAAGGTCAGCTTTCGTCAAAAATCTCCAGAAGACTCAAAGAAACAAACCCTTAGATTTAGTAAATTAACATGTAATCTAGATTAGTTATTCCTTCTGTATCTTCATCTTATCAATTTTCAAATTTAAAATGACTACCACTGGGTAATATCTCTACACATTAGATACAAAAATTGCTGAATGTCTTTCCATGCTGATTATAGTTATATAGAAATAAAAAATCGAAGTTTAATAGTTTTTCTGTCGTCTCTATACCGTAGTACACAAATGAATTATTTTCAATTCGACATATGTTATTGATTTAGATATCAAGTAAAAGTGAAATAAATTCTGCCTAATATCAGTCTATACAAAGACAAATATTGAATCTGATCATCCCTCACATCCATAATAATTTATGGTAGTCAATAAAGTTGTAGAATTTGTAAGTACAAAAAATCTTAACAAATATTTTAAAAAACTAAATTAATCTAAATAAACTTTAAAAACAATTGATGATTAATTGGAAATAATTACTAGTAAAATATTAAGTTGTTAAATTACTAATTGACTCCAAGTTTCTGGAATGATTATATGAGAATGAATAGAAGTTGACGCATACAAATAAATTTTAAAATGTTGAATATTATTTATCTAGACAAATTTAACTCTTTCGACTCAGATGCCGCCGATGAGATATAAATCTCAGAATTTGCGAGTGAAAAGTGTTAAAAGTTGAATTTTAATTATTGTGAGTTTGAGAGCTTTCTCATTGCCTCTTATCAAACTAATGGGATCATTTTAATTTTGAACATATTGCCAAGTTCGCAATCCGATTAATTGGACAAATTAAAGTTATTGGACAAATATAATAATGTTAAACACGAATACCAAGAATTTATTTCGAAGGTATTGAAACCTTTAAATTAGCTATTTGATTTTTTGGAATTCATGTCTAATTCTTTCCAAAATCAATGCCAATGATGAAAGATATATTTTTTTCTAAATTATAAAAGATTTTTTTTATAAGTTATCACTGTGCAATATAAACCAATATTACAGTCGATTCAATAGTATTTAACTTAATTTAAAACAAACCTTCTAGCTACTTGGTAAAGTAACAGTAAAGCATTTTATACTGACTATTGATTATTTTTATATGAGATACAAGCAAACTTGTACTCATTTAGTTATATGTTTTTATATTACGTATTTCTACAAACTAATAATAAATATTAATATTTGTAGTAAGACTTAAAAATTAAACTTTTCAAAATTAAAACCATAAAAACAGCATATAAAAGATATTGAATTTTATCATAAAGTGATGGAAAGGGAAAACTGAGTAAATTACATACATATGTAAGTATTAATCTTTATTGTAGACATTACATCTTAATTCAGAAATTTAAAATCCATCAGTACTATGGATTAGTTACTCGTCCTCAAGTGAGTCTCAGAATCTTTTTTATTTGAGTTAATGGTTTATGAGCAAAATTTTCATGCTTAAGATATTTCCATAAAAAATACTACTGGCAACAAATCTGAACTCCTATGGAATATCACTTTTTCAGTAATCATCTCTCTTAATAAAAACTCACAATTATAGTCAACAGAACATAGCAATTGCGAGCACACCAAATGTATCACACATTTTATTGAAATTGTCTCATAACCCAACAACCGGTAGATGTATATATGCCCAAACATGTCATCTTCAACCTAAATCTCCTCTCTGAGCCTACCTCTAAGTCCTCGTAAGACAAGTCGACTAACCGACCGATTGAGAACCCTCAAAATAACCATGGTCCCCCCATCCCGGGGGGTCTGAATGGGCTACGAACGCGTTTAACTAGATTTGTGTAGGTTTATGCACTTGACGCCGACGCGCCGTTGCAATGCGATGCTTTGTCATCCCCGTAATAAATGTTGCATCCTCTTGAATCCGATATGCGCGAAATTCGAATTCATACAATAAACATTCATTTCTAGTGTTTCCATTGACATGGAATAATTAGATTTTATCACTCTCTGTGATATGTAATAAATATCTATAAAATCGTTTTTGATAAAACTTGATACTTACAAAATTATGATGACATAGCAAAATTTAATATATGAGAAATTGTTATTATCTAATGTAAATATGCATAATATATGTATATATAGGTGTGTTTCAAATAATTCAATTTTTGTTCGCAAATTATATGAAATAAATAATTAAATATAAATATTTTTGCGATGTATAACTATTATAAGCAGTTGAAATTCAAACTCGGTTACTTTTATAACTCTCTTATCTATGAATCCGAATGCAAAACGTAGGAGCGAGCACTTTAATGAGCACAACTATGAGGATATATCGATAAGGAATGCTATTACGAGAGAATATAAAGCGCGGTCTATTTTTGCAGCTTTAATTAATTTTTATAATTAATCCACTTTTCATAGGCCTATAATATTTTACAAGTTTCGGGTTGATTATCAACTATGACCATGCAAAGTTTCATTAAAATCCCAGACGAGTAAACCTGAGGGTTACCTTGCTAGTTTTAATTTTTGTTGTATTTTAAACTTTTCATTATACTTCTTTGCATACCTACAGATTTATTAGTATCTGAGCAAGGTATAATTTATCGTTCAAATCAAAACTAACTTTTTGCTGATTTCTCTTATTGCTCATCGCTTTGTTTTCCCAAAACTATCATCAACTATAAAAATATCATGAAAAACAAGTGAGCATAGATAAGGTAGAGCAAGGCTTAAAGGTCCACGAGCTCAAAGGACCACCACCGATATCTCAAAAATAAGTAAAGTTCTAACAGCAATATTTTAAAGTAGGGGGAAAAAGTAGTATAACCAGCCATCACCTTGATTTTCAAGATGTCGCGATCAGGAGATAAACGGCAATGTCCGAAAATCCCTAGTACAAATATGTTCCTTCATTGCTAGTTTTTTTTTATTGTTCAGTTTACGAGACTTTATTATAATTCTTAAGTATACGATAGGGAGCTTCCATTAATCTCGTGAGCTTTTTACGGGGTGGGGAGGATTTGACAAGAAAACACAAAATATCAAGGGGGGAGGGGTAAAGTAAATTATCACGTGTGTTTATATTTTACCAGATTTAAAAAAATCCAAATATTTTCAAAAAAAAAATTCAATAATTCTACAACTTTTTTTCGTAACTAAAAATACACGTAATGTTAAGTGGGAGAGAGAGGGTTATTTTGAATATAACAAATCCT